ACATATGAACCCTAAGTCAAGCGACATGGAATATTTCAACACTCTCTCTTCCGTGCAAGCAGGATTATGAGTGACATATGAAATTTGACAAATGGTGGGGTACACGCAATAAATTAGAGGGGAACCTAACTCCGACACCATGTTAAAAAAATTTAACCCAAAAGCTTAAACTGATATGTGGAGAAAGATTATACATAAATAAAGAACATATGAACCCCATGGTCAAGCAATGTGCAATATTTTAACAGTGATAATTGTACAACTAGCTGCATCCAACTTTAAGCAACCTGAAATTAGCAATAATGCAGTGGAGAGAGAGAGAGAGAGTAAATGGGAGACGTGGCCATGGCCGCTACACCACTCCACCCCGCCGTCATGCACACAAAATCTCTCGCACTCGGCCTCTCCGCGCCTGCCGGCATTAATGTAGTGGTCCACTGCAAGCAAATTATCGACCACCATGACAACAACCCAAATTCCCCCGTCACGGCTAGGACCCATCACTCCATGAAAGGTCAGAAACGAAGATCATTGACCATGGAGGATCGCGCACCAACGTCAATCGCACATCTAAGCCGATCTGGGGTTGCTCAACGACAGAGAGACGACCAGGTGAAATGGAGGGAGGAGAGAAAAGAGGGCTTGGCAATAGTGGGTACGAATTTGACGGCTGCGTCATCGACGTGGAAAGGCTGACATATTGGCAAGGCCTGCTGAGGTGTGCTATAGTTGGAGTTGGGTGAGGCCAGTGTGAGCGAGGAAGGGAGAGCGAGGAAGATGAGACATAAAAAAACTGGTTTTGAATTTGGTGTTTTGAAATGGGTGGGTGAGAGTCACTCGGTGTAAGACTTAACCAAAAAAAAATTGTTGAGGTGGTTTACTCGTGAGATCCCTTGGCATTGCAAAAGGATTAGCGTTAGGTAGAAATCACACCATTGCAGGACGAGATAGAGAGGGCATGAGAGGAGTGGTCAATTCTAGTAGACTCGAATGCCAAGTGGAATTGAAGAATTTCTACTATAGCACTTCTTGTGGAGAGCTTCTCAATGATTATTTGCCGAAGCTCCAAAGTCTGAAGATGTTGAAGTCGATGGAAGAGCATCCTAATATTCAGAAGTCCCAAAAGTTTCGAGGGCCAACTGCCAAAAGTTTCCAAATGAGTAAACTAATGGGCTGTTTATAGTAAGAGGGCCGAGCAAGAAGGTGCAATGTGGCAATCCATGTGTGAGGAAAATCGGTGGTACATAAGTTGCCACACGTCACGAGGGCACAAGCCAATGACGGACTAACACATGTGAGGAGGACATGGATATACACCAAACCCACTAAAAAAGGCTAGGAAATGGGTCGAGTCATCCCTCACGAACTCTTCTCTAATCCCTTCAAGTCAAACCTCTATAAGACATCTTAATAGGGAGAAAATAGCATAAGAACCTACAATCAATCCTAAGTTTTTCCTCCATAGAGCAATACTCAGTGAAGCAAGCTCAGTATAAGTTTCTCTGCAAAAGACATTTGCCAATAAATTTCATAAAGTATAACAACAAATAATTTACTTGTTCTGCGTAAATATGAAATGATCAATTTACGCATCTACAAAATGCACAAATCAAGTGATGGGAGGAGGTAATATTTCCTCTGACCTGGATAGGAGTAAAACGCAACCAAGACAACAAAGCTCATTACTTCCAAAGAAAACGAAAAAGCTGAAAAAGGACCAGATAAAAAAAATTGCCGACCCGGACAAAGAGGACTTTATCCACCTTGAAAGCAGAGACAGCACAAATTATACTGCAAACAGGTTGAAATTTGAGTCGAAAGCCATTCAGCAGCAAAACATTTTCGGTGAATGATGAAGAACAGCAAAGTAGTTTTTTGGGATTATATAGGAAGCTCATGCTCTGAGCGATCGATGAATATGAAATCTCGAGTCTAACCAAATTTATTGAAATCCATTAAAAGAAATAACAATAGGGCGTGTGCAATCTCCAATAATAGCACATAATTATAAAAGCCATATAGCATCGTTACCGATAACAATTACAGAGCACGACATCCATGGTGCAATCTGTCAAACAAGTATTTATTTAAGGTCTGCAAGTAAGGGGTGTACAATATTTCTCGCATTCGGATTTATCACGGTCAAATGTTGCCCTCACTTGTACAATAAACAATAATACGCTTACACATTACAACAGCAACAACTATCATTAAATCAGATGCTTCAACAAGATGGAATTTACGACGGTTGGTACATGCACACTTCTTTCTCAGATATATAGAATGCTAATCTGAAAACTACTCAGAAACACGTTAAATAAGTATACTGCAACATGAAACTCATCTGGCTTCATCAATCTTCATCTGGGAAAAAACTCCACTCATGGACATCTCTGAGCTATCCGCCCCTTCTTTGCCCACACCCTCTTCCTCGACCGTGTCCGTGCTAAATGATGGGAGCTTCCTCACGTTTGAAAGAGTCAATATGGATGAACCGTCGGCCGCACTGTTGTCGTACATCTCTCTTTTCACCGCAGTTTGCTGAAGCTGCAAGGCGTATTCCAAGTCCCAGAGGACATCGCCCATGCTAGGCCTCTTTTCGTCCTCTTCTTGCACGCATTTCTCAGCAACCTGCCCATATTTCCTCAGCGAGTTAGGATTGATCTGACCAGCAAGAAGAGGATCCACTATTTGCTCAATGATTCCATTCTGTATGCATGTAATGCCCCAGTCAGCCAAGTTTGCCTGGTCTCTAGGAAGCGAAGGGTCGATAGCAGGCCTTGCGCATAGCACCTCGAGAAGAACCACTCCAAACGAGTACACATCTGATTTTTCCGTCAGCTGCTGGGTCTTAAAGTACTCTGGATCGAGGTACCCGAAGGTGCCCTTGACCCCCGTACTCACATGTGTTTGGCTTTGATCCAGCGGCCCCGACTTGGACAGACCAAAGTCAGCGACCTTTGCAACGTAATTCTCGTCAAGCAAAATGTTGGTGGGCTTGATGTCACGGTGAATAATTCCTCCAGTTGCACCTTTGTGGAGGTAATTCAAGCCCCGGGCCGCTCCAATGCAGATCTCAAGCCTTTGCTTCCATGGTAAGTATGGGAAATCGGAATTGTACAGGTGATCTCTTAAGCTCCCCTTCTCCATAAACTCGTAAACAAGTATCATCTCAGACCGTTCAGCGCAGTACCCAATCAAGGATACAAGGTGGCGATGGCGGATTTTGGACAAAACGGTGATCTCTGTTTGGAACTCGGAGAAGCCTTGTCCCGACCCCAGCTCACTCCGTTTCACGGCAACTTTAGTGCCGTCCCTGAGAGTTCCTCTATAGACATTGCCGAATCCGCCCTTGCCAATCAAAAGTTTGGCATCGAAGTTGTTGGTAGCAAAATGGATTTCAGCAAGGGGTACTTTCAGCCCTAGATGAAAATTAGGGACAGAAGAGCCATGGGTATCAGTCAGTTTACTGTGAGAACTGCCTCCTCCGAATGCAGGCAACCGCGACGAAGCCGAAATTTCGGTTCTCTTTGGCTTTCTATACTTGCATATGAAGATCGCAGCAGAAACACATATGCAGAGAAGCACGATGCTTCCAGAAACTAGCCCAATTATGAGCCTCACGTGCTTATTCTGGTTATCGCCCCCTGCGGGCACAAAATCCGACTCCCACGACCCAATTATCTCCATTATCTCCAGGCCATTGAGATAGGCTTGCCGAGAAGATATGTCAGAGGCACTAAGGAGGCCTATGCTGATGTTCACTAGCCCTGAGTTGCCCGGTTGAACAACAAAATCATAATGAAAAGGAACCACAAACTTATCTATCCCCTTTGTACCATATGGGTCAATGTACTCAGTGAAATTCCCATTAACATAGAGATTGAAGAACACCGTGTTGAGAGAAAGGCTAATGAAGTCGCAGAAATGAGCCCGGACCAAGTGCCAGGCGTTTGCACTCACCTTGAAACTCCAGGTGGTGTTGGGGTATAATTCCCCATTCGTAAAATTCACATTCATCACTCTAGCAGTCAAGTATACCCGTTCTGATGCTAAGTATTGGTCTTGACCATCCTGGTAATTAAGACCAGCACCATACTTAGATTTGTTTTGTGCAGCATTTGGGACATGAATGTAATTATCATCAGGATTCCAACTTCTCCTCAAACTATCATCAACCGGATTTACTTCATCGCCTCCGACGTTTATTCGATAAACTGCTCGCGAGACCTGGGAGGAATTTCCACTATTGTTGCTGCTATTGATCGCTGAAGTGCCCACACTCGGAGCAGAATCAAGAATGACTCTATCTGGCACAAGGAACGCTTCAAGGGCATTTATAAATGCAAAGGATGACCCTTGGGGACTAAAATAGAGTACAAATTTAGCACTATTAATGCTAAGCAAGAACTCCTCCACTACAGGAGAGTTGGTACTGCTGGGAATTTGGAAATTGCTTAGAAGTGTGAGCCCCTTTACAGAAACATTGAACACAGCCGCGGAGAGATTGCTTGTGGAAGCGAAAGGGAAAAAGTGGAGTCGCACCATATGAGTACCTTTATCGATTCCATCAAGAACGTATTGTGACGAAGGGCTTCTGAAGATTCTTGCTGTGTCGTAGATAGGTGAGACGCTCGATGATTGGCTGCTGGATAGTGTGGAGGTACTCTGTTTTGTGAAGGAGACGGAATCAGAACTCGTGTCCCCGACAAAGTCCCTGTTGGTATACTGTTCGGTGTTGCTTGATCCACAATTGATGAAGTGCTTGGTCTGGGTGGTGTAGGCTGAGGAAAGAGTGAGAAGAAGAAGTGGGTACTGAAGAGAGACACAGAAGAGAAGGAGGCCAGGGGCGTGGACTCCATGGATGTGAAGCTTTGCCATGGAACCAGGAGACTCTGCTTCAAGAAATGGCTTTGAATAGCTGCTTCAGGAGGGAGAGAGAGAGAGAGAGAGAGATTGGTCTGTGAATTTTGATCAAGTTGTGTTGACTTGAGATTGACTATCAGGCATTGGAAGCTGGGGAGGAAGAAGATTCTCAGCTGGAGATGAGTGGCTCATTTAGGTGTGAAGGGGATGAATTTGCTTCTGCAAAGACGGCTTTGGCTCCCAAACGGGCACCCTTTTGGTCACGATGCTGAGGGACGATCTTGTCCCTGTTGATCCGACTCAGCTTTCAGCAAGTGGACAGAGCACACGAGACGGAGAAAGTGGAAGATATTGAAATTTGAGAGACCGGACAAGAGATGCATGTCCTTTTGATCTTGGGAGACGATAGCAGACGGAGGAGACGGTCCCACAGAAGTCTAAGGTTGAAAAATCATAGCTCCTGTACAGAAAATAGACAATAATGTCATTGGTGATTCCCAATTTCGCTGATGTGACGTTAAGGTTGTTAAATATTTTTTACTAGGATTTTTTTCTGTCTCCTCCAAATATGGAGTTTCTCTTTGACTCGACCAGCAATTTGATATACTGTTGAGGACCACCTTCCGCGCCCTAGCCAGAACTCGAATGCTCGAGCCCACCGATGACGCCTGCGAGATCGCGGTATATGAGCTTTAGATCTTATGGCCATGGCTGCTTGAGCTTCGTCGTCCGAGGGACCAAAGCTTGATTGGCTATAGTAACTGCAAGCCCATATCTCAAGCTTGAGTGGTTATGGCTGCGAGTTGCAAAGTTATATATGGACATGATGGCCACAAGCTTCAAGCTCAAGAGGCCATGGTCGCAAACTTCAAGGTTGAATAACCAGGGCACTCGCGTTGAAATCACTTGTCACTAATCAAATCACTCCCATAAGCCATAAGCAACAAATCTCCGTTGTCATTGGCTTTGTCACGGGCATTGCATTACGTGTTCTTTATGAGCTCTTTCTCTCTCTCAATTAATTGTTCTTTTTAGTTTTCATATTAACTTATGTGGTGCCTATTTAGAACCACATAATAGTTTTAAGCGAATTATAACATCACTAGTATATTCCAACATCCATATCAATAAATTCATCGACCCATGTTAACATAAATTGACCGATTAAAATTAAAAATTAATGGAAACTTAGGGCGCGAATGACAACATTTCTTTTCCTCGACCCTATTTCTGGCTAGAAATAGAAAAATCTATTTCTTTTTCCTGAACGAGTTAGAGACAGTAGACATGGCCACGAGCCGATTTCGACTCGGAACCGGCCCGGGTCAAACCCGAGACCGGCCTGTTGATCGGGCCCGCGGTTCGGAACCGGCAGTTCCGGGCCCGGTTCCAAAAAAAAATTCATTCTTTCTCTCTTTTTTTCCCTAAATTTGATTACAATGTACATTTTGATTATATTTTATATTGAATAATTCATTATTTCATAATTTGATAATTCATTATTTTTTTTTCATAAATTTTTTTTTTAATTTTTACTGGCCGGTTCCGAACCGGGCCGGAACCGCCGGTTCCGGTTCATACATGGCCACTAACCGGAACCGCCAGTTCCGAACCATGGCCATGTCTAAGAGGCAGGATCAAGTAAAAGAAGCTTCGCATCATAGAAAACCCCCTGTTAAGCTTATGATATTGCTCTTGTAACTTGTTCAATCTTTTAGGATAAAGCACTAGTGAGTTTGGTGCCGACGAAAAGTGTCTTTGGTTTCATAGTGATTTTTAGTCATTCATCGTGTTTAGTGTTTAATACATTGATTAGCGACATGATAAAGTATTTTTTTAGGCATTGCTCTAAAAGTGCGTTTGTTTCACTTAAAATTTCATAATAAAGGAGGAGAATATTTTCTATGGAAATCATTATGATTAATTTTCATTTGTCTGATGGTTTAGGACAAATTATTTCCTTCTTGCCAAAAAAAGAAGCTGTTTTCCCTTAATTTTAGGTTATTGTTTTCGGTTCATGAAAAATGTTTTTCATCATCCGAATACCGAAAAGTTAGAAAATAATATCACTAAAACAGTTTTCTTTCAAACAAACGGAAACTAAATATGTCTTTTAAAATCATTGATGATTAAAATTGGCCTATCATTACTGCAATAATTCTTTTGGTGTTTTATCCGCAAAAGTGGCCAAACGTCTATACACTAATTTATTGTCCCTCCCTCCTCCTCCTTATCTCTCTTTATTATTTAATTATTGAGTTGTTACCCGTTTGTAGTTAAGGAATATTTTTTTTATCTTAACATAATTACATGATTTAATATTTTTGCTATATTAGTTAGTAGACAAAAGTTTCTATTGTTTAAATGCATTTATGAGGGAAATTGCTCTTTCGGTAACCTAATGTAGTTTTATACCTTTCAATTGATCTAATGTAAACCTAAACCTTTGTGTTAAATTCAAATATAATTTGTCCAGCTAATTATCGCCTAAAATTACTAACGTGATGGTCCAATTATCATCCGCCATCCTGCATGGCACGACCGTCAATCTTATGTGGACAATTTTAGACAAAATACCATCGTTTTGCTTAATTTTGTGATTTTTCCAGATTTTTTTGTTTTATTCTTTTCTTTCCTTGTTGCTGTTCATGTTCTTCCGGACAAACTTTCAGATGATCTTCGGTTTATTGTCCGTCGAGGTCATCTCAAGGAAAAGAAACCCAGCTTTTCAAAAATTAAGAGCACAAACAACTTCCTCTCCTTTTCTACCGCTAGATTTCAGCCTTTGGGAGAGCACAAAGTGACCCCTATAATTTTTCTTGAAAAGATAAGAAGTAAGCAAAAAAAATTCCTAGCTCAAACTTTGATCTTTTTATGTGAGCTCTAAGTTGATGTCCAAATGGAAGAAGAGAGCTACTTCCCTGATCTTTCCATCCATACAAGCCCCCCCGAAGAGCGCCCCGCCCCTAATGTGCGGTGGCACGAGCAATGAGTGGCCTTTGAACTCGAGCTTCGACATTTGGCGGAGAGGCGCCGAGGATGACGACGACTATCATTATGCCCTAAAGTCCCGCAGCGACAATTCCGTTCTCAAGGCTGATGTCGCCATGTACACTTGACTTTGCCTATTGAATTTTCCGCTCAATGCCGAGGCCGCCAGAAAACCCTTAGAGGCTGAGAGCTCGTGGCGGAGAAGCATCAACGACAACCACTATGGAGAACATATGGTAGAAGATTATTTCAAGAGGAGGCATGTAATTTGGCAATGGAAGTCTCCGCCGCATAAGCACGGGATCTCGCTGCTCGGTGTCTCAAAAAAGCTTCGACCAATCTAGGGCATTTCCATGTACAACACCGGCGCTTTTAACAATTGTTTCCTATTTCTTCTGCAGGCGGATCCCGATTTCACTGGAGATGAGATGACGACGGGGATAATAATTTGAAGCTACGTTACACTTTCCCTAGGCCGAACAACAACATGATGAAGATGGAAGTTCATCCAGAAGAAAATGAACAGTAAAAGGAAGAAAAGAAAGAAAAAGAAGAAACAAATCTTGGAAATTCAAAAAAATTAAGCAAACCGATGCCGTTTTGTCTATAATTGTTCACTTCAAATTATTGATCGTGCCACTGGACCGCTACGTTAGCGATCTCGCACCGGTCGAAAGGACTACATTGGAATTTCCGCCAAGGTTTACGGTATATAAGATTTTGTATTATGTTTGTGAATTTATGTTTTCATACTAACACCACCTGGGGTTTCAAGGTGAATGCGAAAGCCCGGCACCTGGTCCGGGCTCATTTCTGTGACTTCATTAGCCCGGCTCTCAACACGGTGTACTTCAATCTCTATTCTTATGAGAATTTCACTGAGTTTATCGACCCATATGGTAAAAACGGGTTTCGTCAGAGCGCAGTTCCTTTTCATTATGATTTTCTGGTTAAACCGGGCAGCTCAGGGCTAGTGAAAATCAGCATAGGCCTCCTTAATGCCTCAATGTATCAGCAGGCCTATCTCAATGGCCTGGAGATAATGGAGATGATAGGGTCGTGGGACACGGATCTTATGCCCTCAGAAGGCGATCAGGTCGGCCTCATAATTGGGCTAGTTTCTGGAAGCATCGTGCTTCTCCGCATTTTTGTATCTGCAGCAATCTTCGTATGCAAGTATAGAAAGCCAAAGAGAACCAGTTCTCACAGTAAACTTACTGAGCTAACTACCCACGGCTCCGCTGTCCCTAATTTTCACCTGGGACTGAAAATACCCCTAGCTGAAATCCATTTCGCTACCAACAACTTCGATGGCAAACTTTTGATTGGCAAGGGTGGATTCGGCAATGTCTACAGAGGAACTCTCAGGGACGGCACTAAAGTTGCTGCGAAACAGGGCAAGCCGGGGTCGGGACAAGGCTTCTCCGAGTTCCAAACAGAGATCACCGTTTTGTCCCAAATCCGCCATCGCCACCTCGTCTCCCTAATTGGGTATTGTGCTGAACAGTCTGAGATGATACTTGTTTATGAGTTTATGGAGAAGGGGAGCTTAAGAGATCACCTGTACAATTCCGATTTCCCAACCTTACCATGGAAGCAGAGGCTCGAGATTTGCATTGGAGCAGCCCAGGGCTTGGACTACCTCCACAGAGGCGCAGCTGGAGGAATTATTCATCGGGACATCAAGTCCACCAACGTTTTGCTTGACGAGAATTATGTTGCAAAGGTTGCTGACTTTGGTCTGTCCAAGTCGGGGCCTCTCGATCGAAGCCAAACCCATGTGAGTACGGCGGTCAAGGGCACCTTTGGATACCTCGATCCAGAGTACTTTAAGACCCAAAAGCTGACGAAAAAATCAGATGTGTACTCATTCGGAGTGGTTCTTCTTGAGGTGCTATGCGCAAGGCCTGCTATTGACCCTTCGCTTCCTAGAGACTGGGCGAACTTGGCCGAATGGGGCATTACATGTATCCAGAACGGAGCCATCGAGCAAATAGTGGACCCTTTTCTTGTTGGTCAAATCAATCCGAACTCGCTGAGGAAATATGGGGAGGTTGCTGAGAAATGCTTGCAAGAAGAGGACGAAGAGAGGCCCAGCATGGGGGATGTGCTCTGGGACTTGGAATACGCCTTCCAGCTTCAGCAAACTGCGGTGAAAAGAGAGATGTATGACTACAGCGTGACCGGCGGTTCGTCGATATTGACTCTTTCGAACGAGGAAGCTCCAATCATTTAGTGAAGACACGGTCGAGGAAGAGGGTGTGGCCGCAGAAAGGGCGGATAGCTCAGCGATGTCCACCAGTGGAGTTTTATATCAGACGACGATTGATGAAGCCAGATGAGTTTCATATTGCAGTAAATATATTAAAGTGCTCCCGAGTTGTTTTTTTTTTTGGTCGAAGTTCCCGAGTTGTTTTCAGATGTGCGTTCTATTTATCTGAGAAAGAAGTGTGCACGTTACCCATCGTCTTATATTGCATCTTGTTGAAGCATTTGGTTCATGATAGTTGTTGTCGTAATGTATAAGCATATAATTGTTTATTCTACAAGAGAGGACAACATTGGATCGTGATATATGGGAAGTGAGAGATTGCACGCCCCTTAGTTGGAGACCTTAAATACGGTTAGTCTGATCTTTTTTACTAATATTAAGCATTGTCGCGACCTAAAAAAATCGGGTTTTCCGATCTTAGGCTAATGAATTACTAGATCAATTAAATTAACTAACCTAGCTCGAGTTCTCCCAAACTCTACCAATTCGCAACTTAGGTCCAATTATGAGCATGCAAATATTTTCAATGGGAGTCGCCACTAATCATTTAAGGTAGGTTGATTAGAAACCTAAATAAAATAGCGGGAGTACTATTTTATTTCTGCAAACCAGAAATTACGGATTCGGGGACTTGGTTACGCTAGATTCCCTAACGCCCTTTCTGTACCAATTTCAAGAAAAATACTTAATTTGACAATTTTGATATATCTTGACTTAGAGTTCAAAGGTGCAGAATTTTTTTTTTTTTTTTTTTATTTATTTAAATGAAAGCTAACCTATATGTAATGGCGTGCAAAAAATTGACATGCGATTAATGCAACCTAACATGCAAACTATATGTCATGCGACGACGTGACCTATTTCTAATGACAGACATATTATTTTTTTGTATTTTTTTCTTTAATGAAATTCGGAATTAAAAATGCCAATTATCTAAACATGCAATTTTAAACTAAAGAAATTAACCTATTCTAGAGTAATATTTTTGGCATTTTTTTTTATCAAAATTCGAAATTAAAATCAAGTAAAAAATATAACCGCTAAATCTTTCGAATTAATTTTCGATCTGAAGCTTGACAGATCGATCCTAAAATTCGAAATACCTGCTATGGAAATAACTTTATCTAAAGCCTGATAGATAGATTTATTTCCATGTGTACGGTTGCGGATTAGGAAATTTTCCTAATCGATCACATCTTGAAAAAAATTTAGATATCTTAAATATCTTGGATATATTCAAAAGATTTTGAAAATTCTAAATTCTATCAAAATTTGAAAAGTAATAGATATCCAAGATTTCAAAAAAGGAAATAAAATCCTAATTGGAATAATGCTTATTATCCAAATATGCAAAATTAGATATCAATAAGCACGAATTAGGCAACAAAATATTCAAACCAAATCAGGATAAGATAATTACCTGATTTGCAGATTTCTTTCCTAATTTGAATTTGTAGCGGATCGGGATTGCGACCGGCGGGGCGTCGGGAGCGGCGGCGCGACGTCGGGAGTGGCAGCGGCTTGCGGTGGTAGACGATAGCAACGAATGCAGCGATCTTCGGAAGTCGCGAACAGGCAGCAGCTCACCACGGGAGGGCGACCAACGTCGATGATGGCAGCAACTTCGGAGGATGTTGGCGTTGTGGTGGGGCGGGCCTCGCACGGAACGCAACCGCAGGAAGGGCCGGCGTCGGGGTTGGCTCCGGCACGGAACGGCGACCGCAGGAGCGGCTAGCGTCGAGGCACTCCGTGTGTATCAAGCTGAAAGTTCGCAACAAACCTCGAGGGAATCGTCTAAAGAAAAAACTGGTGTTATTGCAGCCCACCGTGAGGAAGATAGCTCAATGGCAAAAACAGTCCGGGTCGTGTAAAGACGTCGGATGAAGTCGTCAGCAAGGCAAGACAAGAACAAAGATCGTGGATTGGGCCGAGAGCAAGCAATCACGTGGCTTCGTCGATCAGCACTGGAAGTGGCAACAGGGAGCAGAGAACTGTAATGACTCGGATGCTTGCTGAATTTTGGCCAAGCTTGTCCACTTCGCTGGGAATTGGGAGGCGCAACGGCAAGGTAAGAGGCAAAGCAGCACAGCCACGTTCGTCAGGGACGATCGTGAAAGAGAGGTTTCCTCCTTGTAGCTTTTTCTCACTTTTTCTCTCTCAACGGTGGCTGTCTCTCTATGGCCGTTAGATGTGTCAAAATGGGTTTTAAACCCATAGATGACCCATTTAAAAATAAATGCGTCATATATGGGTCACTTTAATTTTAAAGAGTCAACCTTAAATGAGTTTTAAATTTTAAAGCTTAAAGATAAATGGGTCTAAATGGGTTGAGTTTGGAACCCATGTCTAACCCACCTACTAGATCCATCCACACACTCTCTCCCTCTTTACAAAAATGTTTAAAAAAAATAGAAATTTAATTATTTTTTTTCTCTTTTTCTTTTATTTTTTCTTTTTTCTTTTCTCTTCTTTCTTTTTCTTTTTTTTTATTCCGGCCGGTGGTCGGCCACGGCGACCGGCCATCGGGGCGGGACGACCTTGCCGGAGGCCGGCGAAGCTCGAGCTCGCCCGATTCCGGCGACCTCAAGGCTCCAGCCTCATCGATCTGACGGGACTCGAGTTCGCCCGAGGTCGGCGAGCTCGAGTCTCACCGGCCTCTGGCGAGGCTCCACCTCGCCAGATCCGGCGAGGCTCCACCTCGCCAGATCCGGCGAGGTCGAGCTAAAAATAAAGGAAAAAAAAGAAATAAAAATAAAAAATAATTAAAAATTCGATTTAAAAAATAAAAAAATATTAATTTTTTTTATTTTCTTGGATAATGACTTTATGGAAAATATTTTTTAGAAATGTCGCATTTTTCGTAAAACAAACAGAACCTCAATTTTTAAAAAAATTATAAAATTTTTTCACTAGCTTTATATTGTATAAAATGTTTTAGCAGTATAATTTTTAAAAAAATCATAAGAAACAAGTATTCCTAGATTAGGTTAAATATAAAAGTGTTTTAGCAATATGGGTCGGGTCGGGTATGGATTGGGTATGAGTCGGGTCGGGTATGGGTCGAGATATTTACACTATGAATAAATGGGTCATAAACGGGTTAATGGGTCAATTTGGGTCGGACCATTTATGACCCGACCCAAACCTGGCCCGACCCACCCGTTTAACAGGTCTAGGCCGTGAATGTCAATTGTGTGGCTTCCTCCTTTCTGAAATTGTCAGAGTCCCCCCCCCCCCCAGATTATGAGACATAAACATATATTTATAATGTAAACCTAGGTCAATTAGCTGGGCTTTCTAGTCCTAATGGGCTTAGGTTTAGGCTTTAATTTAATTCTAAGTGGGCTGAATTAATTTGGGCTTTTCTTTAATTAAGCATAATGGGCTAATTTAAGCTCAAATTAAGACAATAAAGCCCTTTTGCGTGTGATTTTCGGCCCATGCTTTCCGAGTGAGCCGAGTCTCGTTCGGTGCCCGAGCTCGATTTATGTGATGAATTTTAAGCTCGTTTACCACCGCCGATCCGATGCGAAATGCAGTTAATCTATATGAACCTAAACTTTATGCTATGCGATTTGTAATATTTTTGTTCAGGGGTTAAAATTTAATCCCTAATTTTCTATGCAATTAACCACTAAATGATGTGCCGAAATTTAGGTGTCAACAAGCATGAACATATTTAATTGGAGAGGCAAATGATCTCTTATTATCAACGGTTCTAAACGTTTAAACTGTTAGATAAATGTGTTTTTTTAATATTTTAATATTCTTTCATGCTCATCATATTGTTATTTTCTCTAAATGATTTTGATAAATTTGGTTAACTCGAGGTTTGCGTTGTAAAATCGATGCGGACACTGACAGGATTTCACAATTTAAATCAATGTGAAATCTTTAGAGAAATAAATGAGGAATAATAAGGATGCTAGAGATTTATATGGTTTGATTCAAGTGTAGGTACCAAGTCCCTATTTTAAAATCTCTAGTTAGTGAAAAGTAGAATGACCTCCCATGTTCTACCGAGCTTATAACTGGACCCAATAGGCTAGTGTTAGCTCCCAAATAGGATAAGACTTTATTGTTTAATGAAAATCAATCGAATTTTCCCAATGCCATGCGATATAAGATTTGGGAGAAACCATGGTGGACAAGGGCGAGCACCTCGAATAGACCGTTTGTTCCCACACAACATTACATTTAAACCCACTCCCCCTAAAACCCTAGGGGAGGGCGGCTGACAGTTTGGCGTCTCCTTAGGACAAGTTACTAACATCAGAGAACGTAGGCCTAGTATAGACTTGATGTGCGACCTAAATCTCTCACGGGTGCACCATCTAGGGGTTCGACTAATGAATTATTAAGTCTAAGTCTAACTCGGGCTCTCCCAAGCCCTATCAATTCGCGACTTAGGATTAAAGTTCTTAATATGCAAATGTTTTCATGCTTGGAATCGCCACTACTCTATTTGCAGTGGGTCGATTAGAAACCTAAATAAAATATAGGGAGATATGTTTTATTTTTACGAACCAGAGATTCTAAGCTCGGGGACTTGATTATGCTCAATATAGTCTAACGCCCTTTCGATACCTTTTCTTTTCAAAAAATGTTTAAGCAGATAGTCTGAATCCATTTTATTACCTAGATACTACCATGTGGGGTAACTATAAGGGTGCGCAATTTACCAATTTAACACCAAAAAAGGAAAGCAGTAAATAAATTGTTAGATTAGGAGAATAACGTACCTTAAAGTAACGAAAGCATCTGTATTGTTAGCTAGAATATCATACGGACAGTCCTAATATGATTTCTAATTAACAAAGGAAACCACTCAATATGTTCTTTAGGGTTTTCTCTTTATTAAGATGAAAACTAACCTACGTGCCATGACGTGCAAATTATGACATGCGATTAACGAATCCTAACATGCGGACTATATGTCATGTGGCAATATGGCCTATTTCTAGTGATGGGCAAATGATTTATTTTTGGTATTTTTCCAATGAAATTCGGAATAAATAAAATGCCTAAATTAACATGCGATCTACCTTAGAATAAGTAGCTTTATTTATTCTAGAACAACTTCTTTTTTGGTATTTTT